CCTGTCTTATTTTCAGGGAAACATGGTATTTCCTTGACACTCATAAAGCCAGCCACTGAACCTTGGATTTTTCTAACGTGGCTTCTTTAAGTTGGGTGGGCTTCAACTCCCAGAATTCCCCAGTCAACAACCCTGTCGTAGCAACTGCATTGATTCACTTAACAACCATGGCAAATATAGGTCGTAAAATGGGGCAAAACTCACTTAACAACTGCCTTGCTTAGCAACAGAAATGTTGGGCTCAGTTTTGGTCGTTAGTCGAGAACTGCCTGTACTTTTGACAGTCGTTAACCGAATTCTGACTTTGCTTCTCGGCAGGTTGCAAAAAGTGATCACATGACCCCAGGACACAGTAACCATCATAAACCCATGCCAGTTGCCAAACGCCCAAGTCTTCGGGATGCTGTGACGGTCGTAAGTGTGAAAACTGGTAAGTCAGTGCTGTTGTAACTTCAAATGGTCACTAAACAAATGGTTATAAGTTGAGGACTCCCTATATGGTTCCCAGCTGCATGGAAAGCCTCCTGCCCTGCGCTAAACCACGTTTTGTTCAATAAATCACCATGGGAGAGTTTCACACCAGAAACTTTTAGCCGGGAATGGAGGGTTCGTAAACGAATGTTAGGTTTGTAGACTAATGCAGGAATCACAAAGGACTGAGTCCGTTTCTGCACAAAATAAAAGGGGTCTGGCAGCATTGGTATGCCCCAAACATAGCTCAGCCCCTGTGGCTCCCCTCAATCCTGGTTTACACCCACAGCCCGTGCTTCCGAGCCCAAACGGCTTCCCGCAAATTCAATCGCTTGCAGCTCTAATGAGAAAACGTAAAATAAAAGAGATAAAGCACACAGTTTTGTAATGATTAAACAGGGAAAATGTATAGCTGGGGGTTGAAATTAGGGTCCTTGGAGCTCACCGTTTGGTGGTTTTCTTGCAGACGTTTCATGGCCCAATTAGGTAACATCATCAGGGCTAAAAAGGGAATATGCTTTGCTCTATTTTATATATAGAATAAGCTACTAGTATATAAACAGAGGACAACCCCGCTCCCTGCTAGCACTGATGATGTTAACTAGTTGGGTTATGAAATGTCTACAAAATAACAGCCAAGCTCAGAGGACACCAAAGACCCCACAGTCCTCTTCCTCTCCCTCCTCCTCCTCCTCCTCCTCCTCCCACAACCCTCTCCTTTCTAGCACTGATGACGTGTCTGCAAGAAAACCACCAAATTCAGAGAACGCACCGAGGGCTTTTCACTCCAACCCTGAACTGCAAACATTGTCCTTTATACCAATCTCTTTACAGGTTGCAGTAATTGGCATTTCTTTCTTGGTTCGAGCCAAAACCAGGTTTCCCCATTCCGTTCCCAAGCCCCAGTTTGCAAAACCGGGCCATAGGAAGAAGATCAGAGGCCCAGTTTCGAAGCCAGCTTAGCAAGAGAGAGGGGGGAAAAAAATTTCAAGCTAATTCTTGCAATTTTTCCCTCTGTTTTCCTCCAGACGAGCTCTCCCTGGATCCTTCCAGGGAGGAAAAAAAAATAAATAGAAATGAACAGGGGTGTGAGGGAAGAAAGAGGGTAAAATAACTTTCCCATGAAAATATTTTATTTTCTTAAAGGACAGGATACACCTGCAAAGTTTTAAAATAAGAAATTCAGCCTCCCCCCCCCTCCCCATTAATTGATGGTTTAATGGATCCCTCTGCTGGCAGCGATGGGAATTACAATATTTTTCCACACTCGCCCTTCCCCCAAACTCCAATCACAGATTTTAGCAAGTGGCAAAACTTGTGCAGGGATTTTTTAGATAAGTGTTGGTCAAACTTGGAAATTTTAAGAGAAGGTGGATTGCAATTCCCAGAATTCCCCAGCCAGCTTGAAGGAGTTGAAGTCCATTCCTCTTAAAGTTGCCAAATTTGAACAAATCTTATTTTAGATGCTTGAAATATCCAATTTGGAAAACATTGGTTTAGACACTCAAAATGTCACTCAATTTAATTAGAAGAAGAGGGCTTTCTTAGATGGAGGGAAATTCTATCCAGGAAAATAAAAATGGAATAATTTAAAAGACAAGGCAGGGCACAAGAGTTGATCTTTGCCGACAGGATAAGGGGAGGGGGGGTGGGAAAAAAAGGTCCCCACCCATTTATGATGAGAGAAACTGACCAGGCACAGATCAGACAGAGGAGGCAAAAATAGATATTCTAGACAAGATCATTTGCAGGTCTTTGATCTCAGCTTCTTTCTTGCACACTCATGCACGCACCCACATTTGAAAGAGTGACTTCAGCATTGTGCCCTCCAGCTGGTTTCCTTATTTGCACCTCCGCGGTCTCGGTTCCTTCCTTGCACACCCATGCACAAGCCCACACAAAAGAGAGACCTTTCCATTATAACTATCACGTTCCCTGCAGCTGTGTTCATTATTTGCACCTCTGTGGTCTCAGTTTCTTCCTTGCACACCCACGTACACGCTTACACCAAAGAGGAGGCTTCACCATTATCCCTTCCAGCTGGTGGCATTCTTTGTACCTCTTGCGGTCTCAGTTACCATTTTGCACACCCACAGTAAGGACACCTCACCATTAATAATACCAAATTCCTTTCAGCTGCCTCCACTCTTTGTACCTCTTTTGTCTCAGTTCCTTCCTTGCACACCCGTGCATATACGCCCACACCAAACTAAGACCCCTCCCCATCATCAACTTTTCTCCAGCTGTTTGCAAACTGCTGCTTCTGGAATGCTTAGGTAGTTGGAAAGATACTGTTGAAACTTTTCTGAAGAAGATGCACAGGGAATATGAAGAGACGGATTATTGATTTTCAATATTGCCCCCCTCTCCCCCCTCCACCATGTTAAACCAGCCAGCAGCAGCCCCCAACCCTTTTTTCCACATGAGACATGAACAAAAGTACAGGAAAACTTCAGTGTGAAAAGCCACCATCCTCCTGACACACCTGAGTATGCTCGCCCCTAAACAGATGCAAAGTTTAAAAACGCAACAGACTTTTTTTTTAAAAAAAAACTCTCATTTCAGAATAACAGAATTGGAAGGGACCTCAGAGGTCATCTAGTCCAACCCCCTGCTCAAGCAAGAAACCTTACACCGTTTCAAGATAAAAAATGGTCTTCTTAAAAACCTCCCCAGGACACATCACATTTAGGTTCATTATTCCAAAACCATCCACTTGCGAATCTGTCATTTCTCCTATCCTCCAGACAAGAATGTGATGGTTTGGTCTGGACTTCACAAACCATCATGCACAGCAACCCCACATGCCACAGAAAGCCAAAAGAAGAAGCGACCTAGCAACTCAATTCTTATCAACTGAGAAGTTAAACCGTGTTTGAAGAATGGGTTTTTATAAAAAAGCAAAAAAAAAAATCATAAATGCTGTTAGTTTTATTGACTTCTAAGAAAATGTCATATCCAAACCCTTAACAGGCAAACCCAAACATACTATTTAAATGTATGGACTTCAACTCCCAGAATTCCCCAGCCAAGTAGCTGGGGAATTCTGGGAGTTGAAGTTCAAATGTCTTAAAGCTGCAAAACATTTAAGGTTGAATGAATATTAAATTTCTTAAAAGTCTAATCAAATATAATAGTTTACTAATATGCTGGATCTTTTTATAAGATCATTATATTAACCAACATCTTTCAAGATTTGTTCAAGGAGTCAATATCAAACTGGGACATTGTTTATCATTTATGTCATAGTTTCTTCTGATATATATATATATATCAGTTCCAAAATGCATCAAACAGCTGAGTTCAGGACAATTAATCCCACATGTATTGTTACATGTTGAATATCTTACAGCAAAATAATGAGAAAAGAATATTTTATTTTTCTTTGAATCAGCAGGAGGCAAGGCTGGAAAATGAACTGCATTAAAGAATCTCCAAGAAACATTTAACATCAATTAAAGATTAAGTATTCATACTCATGTCTCAACCAGGCGCTTCCCATCAGTTTAGCTCAGATATGAATAGATTTAAAGTGCCAATTTCTTCTTAAAATGGAATCAGAACTTTGAAATTGTCCTGCCAAACTGCCTGGGTTTTAATTTTTATCCTCTGCTTCTAATCTAGGAATTGTCACCCCAGACACCTAACCAAGTTAGAGGAGAATGTCGCAGAACATAAAATATCAGTTTTTAAAGATTTAAAAACCTTTAGAACAAGAACATCCCCATTCTCTTGAAACGCCTTAGCCAGCCTTGTCATCTTAAGCCAAACTTTCTTTTCTTTTAAAATCTGATCCATTGATAATTAATTCTATTAATAATTCTCTTCCTTTCCTGCTTCCCTGATAAATCCCCAGCCCATTTCAAAAAAAGGCCACAACCCACCTGTTCACAGTCCCCAAGTTTGATCACAGGTGACTCAAAGTGCATCCCCCACCCTCGCCTACCCCTGGGAGGCTGGATGCGATGGATTTTGTAGTCCCACAGGATCGGCCGACACCCCCATGAAAGAGGGGCGCAGAGGGAAGAGGATATAGAAAGTTTGCCAAAGTTAGTGGGAGGCAGAGAGAAGGGGGGAGAACTGGGCTCAGCGACGGCCGGGGTGCTGAAAAGGACTCGGAGGCGCGGACCTGTTTCTTGAGACCTGTTGCGCTCCGGAGGGAACAGGAGAAGCCAGATTTGGGAGGGGGCTTCTCGACGTAGGATCGAGGCAAGGGGCTGCACTAGAATGACTGTGATTCTAAATGCCCCGCGCAAGGTAACTCATCTGCCCTACGCGCCCCAGAAAGGAGAAGGGAAGGTGAGGCTGCGCGCTTGGATGGCAACCTGGGGAGGGGGCGCCGGCTGGCAATGGGGCAGCGTAGGTCGCCCCCCGCCGCCGCCAGTGGGGTTCTGGAAAGATGCACCTCTCCTGGGGAACCGCTGTTCCTAAGAGAGACGATGAGACGCGCAATCCCGAAGAAGGGAAGCAGAGGCTGCCACCCGCGCAGGGCAAGGATCCTCCAGCGCAGCGCAGCGAGGGGCGCTCACCCGAAGTAGGCGGCGGAAAGGTCCGGGGCGCAGGAGAGCAGAACTAGGATCGCGCAGCAAGAGGAGAAGAAGAGCCGTCTCTGCCGGGGGTGTCCATCCAGCATTTTGCTTCGCCTCTGGCGCTGATCATCGCGTTCCTCCCGCTGAGCCGGATCGGCGGCGGCCGGCTGGGACGCCCCCTTTATAAGCAGCCGACTGGGGAAGGAGGGGGACGAGCCCAGCTGGGGGGCGGGCTCGGGGAAGGGCCGCCCCCCCCCCGGGGGGGAGGCCCTGGAGGAGGGGGGGAGAGCGGCGCAAGAGGAGAGGGGGCAAAGGAAAGGAGGAGGGTTGGAAAGGGAAAGGGAGAAAGGGAAAGTGTCTGGAGAAGAAAGAGGGAAGGGAGGAAGGAGCGAGAGAAGGAAAGAAGGAATATAAGAGAAGGAGCGCATAGGAGAAAGGGGAGGGGGGCGGGGAAATGGGAAGAGGATGGAAAAGGAAGAGGGGAGTAAGGAAGGAAGGAAAAGGGGAGGAAGAAAAGGAGAGCATGAGAGAAGGAAGGATGGAGGAGAAGAGAAAAGGGGACAGTGAATGAAAAAGAGGGAGATGGGAAGGAAGGAAAGGGGAGGATAAAAGAAGAAATAAAATAGATGGAGAGACTAAGGGAAGGAAGCAGAAGAGAATGGGTGAAAGGGAAAGTGAATGGAAAAGGAGGAAAAAAAGGAGGAAGGAGAGAGGGAACAGAAGAGGGAGGGGAAAAGGAAAGAGGAAACCTGATGGTACCCCCACCCCAAATCGCACCCTCGTGGCATATTCCTCAAACCACAGCTAAATCTCAGTTTAAACAAATGCAAAGATTCTGACATATATCAGATCCAGACCCCTTTAGCAACCAGACCCCTCACCACTCTGCCTGATGGGGATGGGGACCCCCCACCCCTGATGGGGATGGCAGGCAAAAAAAGGGGGACCCCATCATCACCCCGATATCCAAGGCAAACACCCAGCCAGACTCCTCACCTTCAAAACTATAAGCTGCAAACTGGCTTGCTTCTCTATTCTCGGGAAGGGTGTTTTGACTTTCCGTCCTAGGATCTCTGAGTGGCCTCCCATCCAAGTATTCAAGCAAACTGCTTTGCTTTAGGACAGGGTTACTCAACCTTGGCAACTGTGAGGACTTCCAGAATTCCATCGTCAGCACTTGTGGCCTTACAATGGCATTCCAAAAAGTGACTTATGAGAGTCCTCGCACTTATGACCATTCCAGCCTCCTCACACAGTCAGTGATCAAAATTCAGGTGTTTGGCAACTGGCAAGTATTTACAGCGTGCCGGGGTTGTGTGATCCCTATTTGTGACCTTCCCCGCTGGCTTTGACAAGTAAACTCAGTGGCGAAGCCGGATTCATATTAATCACCACGCGATTCACTTAACAACCTCAGCAACCCATTTAACAACCATTGCAAAATCAGGCTGTAAAATTGGGCGGGACTCACTTAACCAACCGTCTTGCTTAGCCAGGGAAATCCTGTTTCCGATTCTGGGTCATAAATCGAGGACTTTCATTCAAAGGACTCAGGCGGGAGTGGGGAAGTCTTTGGGTGATCCTGCATCATTCCATTTGAAAGTTTGAATCTGGTTTTCCCTTTAAGATGACTTTGTCAATAATTAACCAGCTTTGGCTAAGCCCGTCACTCTTTTCAGTTCATCCAACCAGGTTTAACCAACCAGCTTCAGCCGGTCCCCTTGGGGCGAACCAAATCTGATCGAGCCAGACGTGAGCACTGCCCAGTTGGACAGTCCAGCGAGAACCAGGCACTTTGATTGACCGCTGGGGGTCCCAACCTTGGCCATAACAAACCAGCATTGGGATCATGCTAACGTTTTCAAAACAGACAAAACCCGCCAGCCCAATGAGATGCTGTGATTTGCTTTATGGCGGTATTCTCTGCGGTGGCGCAATGGTTAGAGTGCAACACTGCAGGCTACTTCAGCTGACTGCTGGCTGCCTGCAATTTGCCAGTTCGAATCCCACCAGGCTGAAAGTTGACTTGGCCTTCTGTCCTTCCGAGGTGGGTAAAATGAGGACCCAGATTGTTGGGGCCAAAAGGCTGAGTCTATAAACCGCTTAGAGAGGGATGTAAAAGCACTGTGAAGTGGTATATAAGTCTAAGGGCTATTGCTATTGCTCTTCCTTTTCTCCTTCCTTCCTTCCTTCCTTCCTTCCTTCCTTCCTTCCTTCCTCCCTCCCTTCCTTTCTCCCTTTCTCCCTTCTTTCCTCCCTCCCTCCCTTCCTTCCTTCCTTTCTCCCTTCTTTCTCCCTCCCTCCCTCCCTCCCTTCCTTCCTTCCTTTCTCCCTTTCTCCCTTCTTTCCTCCCTCCCTCCCTTCCTTCCTTTCTCCCTTTCTCCCTTCTTTCCTCCCTCCCTCCCTCCCTCCCTCCCTTCTTTTTCTTTCCTTCACAGTGGTTAGAATGCAGCATTGCTCACTGCCAGGAGTTCAATCCTGACTGGCTCAAAGTTGACTCAGCCTTCCATCCTTCCGAGGTGGGTAAAATGAGGACCCAGATTGTTGAGGGGGGGGCAGTAGGCTGACTCTGTAAACAGCTTAGAGAGGGCTGTAAAAGCACTATAAAGCGGTATATAAGTCCAAGTGCTATTGCTCTTCCTTCCTTCCTCCCTCCCTCCCTTCCATGTTGCACAGTGGTTAGAATGCAGTATTGCAGGCTAACTCTGCCGACTGCCGATGGTTCAAATCTCACCAAGCTGAAGGTTGACTCAGCCTTCCATCCTTCCGAGGTGGGTAAAATGAGGACCCAGATTGTTGGGGCCAATAAGCTGAGTCTATAAACCGCTTAGAGAGGGATATAAAAGCACTATGAAGCGGTATATAAGTCTAAGTGCTAAGTTCTGTTGCTATTCTTGCTTATGTCATGCCGGGAATCCATTGGCACCATCAAGGAGGTGTGTGCAAATTGGCATCACTTCTCGGAGAAGGTAAGTGGGTGTTACACCAGGGTTTCTCGAACAGAGCGACTTGAAGAGAGGTGGACTTCAATTCCCAGAATCCCACAGTCGGTATGTCTGAACTTCAGCTCCCATAATTCCCTAGCCAGCTACTAGCGTGGTGTATTCGTTCCTCCAACGGTGATGATGAGCATCCGTGAGAGAGCTGTAGAATAGTTACAAGGTGTTGTGTGATCTTCTGGTGGTCTCCCATCCAAGTCCTCTAAAACTTATTTTATAATTTTATTATATCAGACGGATTTAAGGCATATGGGATTGAGCTCCCACAATTCCCCAGCCAGCCATTGGTGTATATTTTCCCTCAATGAGTCTCCAAAAATTGCAAGGGGTTATGTGATCTCCTGGTGGTCTCCCATCCAAACTGTCTAAGATTTGTTTTGTAATTTTATTTCATCAGATGGGATTTCAGAAGTATGGCCTTCAGCTCCCAGAATTCCCCTGGAAACATCTCAGCATCTGGCATTTGCACAGTCTCTGCTGGGCATATTTTCCAATGATTGGAAACCTAAAAAAATTTTTTTAAAAATTAAAATTAAAAAAAAAAAACCCTGAGGCAGTATCCCAGATCAGTGGAAGGCCTGATATCACAGTTAAACTTCAAGCGCTTCCTAAATTATCTCTACATTTTGGGAGCCATAGAATCCTAGGATTAGAAGGAGTCCCCTTGAGGTCATCTAGTCCAGCCCCCTGCTCAGTAAAGGAAATGGATTTAGACTCACCCTGTGAGTCATGTAGGCAATTTCCAAATGTGATAAACAAACAAACAAGTTCTGGGTTGTTGGTTCTTCTCTTTGAAGAAGACTTTCTTACCTCGCCTCAAAGTTCTCGAAGTTGTTTATTCATTCATTCATTGGTGATTTATTATTTATGCAATTTATTTCTTAAAATTTTTCCATTTCATGCCCTCTCATCGGGCCTAATAAGATAAGATCCTCAACTTACGGCCATTCATTTAACAACCGTTTTGAAGTTATGACAGCCCTGGAAAAAGTGACTGAAAAGCGGTCCTCGCCTTTGCGACCATCACAGCGTCCCACCGTCACATGATCAAACTAGGTTATCGGGAAGCTGGCAGACACTTACAGTGGTTTCAGCATCCTGAGGTCACGTGATCCCCATTTATGACCTTCCCAGCTGACTTCCGACAAGCCAAGTCAACAGGGGAGTCAATTCACTTAACAACCATGTGATTCAGTTAACAACCATGACGAAAAAAGTCATAAAATCTGTTCAATCTCAGCTAATATTCACCTTGCTTAGCAAGAGAAACGTTGGGCTCAATTCTTTCCAGTGAAGTGACTCACTTAACAACCGCAGTGTTTCACTTAACAACCATGAGGAAAAAAAGTTGATAAAATTAGGGGGCAACTTGCTTTGCAACCCTTGCTTAGCAATGGAAATTCTAACCCCCATTTTGGTCGTAAATCGAGCCCTACCTCTAGCAAGATCTCCCACTTGGTGCATTTATAGTACAGGTAGTCCTCGACCTACGACCATAGTAGAGCCCAAAATTTCTGTTGCTAAGTGAGACATTTCTTTGTGCCCCACGTTTAAAACCTTTCTTTCCACCGTTGTTAAATGAGTCACTGCAGTTGTTAACTTCGTCACATGGTTATTAAGTGAATCGGGATTCTGCTTGTCAGAAGGTCGCAAAGGCGATGATGTGACGACACACACACACACACACCCAGGGACACTGCCACCGTCATAACTATGAGTCCGTTGCCAAGCGTCCGAATTTTGACCAGCTGACCGCTGACGAGAGCTGAAACGGTCGTAAGTGTGAAAAACGGTCACGTCACTGTTTTCAGTGCCCTTCTAACTTTGAAGGGTCGCTAGCTGAACCGTTGTAAGTGGAGGACCATCTCTCTTCCGCCCTAAATCTGCCGCTTTCAGCATTTGCAGGAAGATGCTGAAAATTGCAAGCCGAATCCTTCGTGAGACGAAAATCTCTTACTTGGCAAAAGTTTTCGGGGATTTTTCAGAAAAATTAGAAAGCAGAACAGGTGTTCTACAGAAAAGATTTCGCTCGGCGTGTAGGGCTCGAGTTTTATTATCACTATTTCGCGTGGGTGTGTGTTTCTTTCTTTTTTATTTAATCCTCTTATATAAGGCGCCTGACCATAGC